CGAAGCATGGCAAGATCTGAGACCATAATATTGGTAATTTTACAAATTTAGTAGTAAGAATAATCAAATATGAAACTATCAAATCAAAATATATATAATTTGCGGGGGTGCAAAAACTTTTGGGGGCGGTGCCAAATGCCTCTGGGGGTGCAAATCATTTCTGGGGGGGGAGGGGGTGCACACCCCAGAAAATATGTGCCTGCCTAGGGTGATATTTGTGTTGCCTAGGAAGCAGGGGAGGAATAATCTTCTCACAACAGTTTAAATAAATGAACCAGGACATCTTTGAAGGCATGTGAAGAAAGGAAGAGATTAATAGTTTTCCTGTTTCCTAAGTGGGTGTGAGGTATGGGTGGGTGTGAGGTGTGAATGGGTGGGTGTGAGGTGTGAATGTGTAAGGTATGGATGAGTGGGTTCACATTTTGTGTTAACAAACACAACCTCAATGTTCCCAAACGAATCCTATATTGTTCTCTTAATCTCTTTAACTCAGTCCAAGCAAGGCAATTCATTTGATAATAGAAAAGTGTTAGGTGTCAATACTTTGACTAGACTATCTGTGCATGTATATATGATTTAACCCTTTAAGTGGCAATGGGCCCTGGCACTGAATGAGCGGCACTAACATTTGGCAACAGATTGTCATCCAAAAGCCAAAAGGAAGCCATTCAGTGTCCGTATATAAAATCAGCGAGACAAGTTGCAAAGAGGGATGTTACACTGTACAATGCTCTAAAAATATGTTGCAGCGTTGCCGCGGTCGTTGCAGAAAGTTGAACCTGATTCCTCTTCGTGCAATGCTTGTTGCAACAAAAATGTTGCAAGACTTGATGATTGTGAGGCATGTTACACCTTGCAATTTCGTGTGCATCTTGTGGTAACAGCACCTTTAGGTATAAAAGTGTATACGTATCCTCACTTCGATTACCCATCCGCTCCAATATTCAGTTTCGACCAAGTAAAGTCCAAGAAAAATCGTTCAAGTGCTGCATTTGCTGTTTGGAGTGTTCTGGATTTCTGGAACACTGATAGAATGAAACGGAAAACGGTCACATACCGGTAACTATTCTGACAGTTCTAGCTATCTGGCAGCTCAATTCTATTCTATCAGTGTTTTCCGAAAATCCAGAGTCGTCCAAACAGTACACAGACCAGCCTGAAGGCGTTAGACAGAGTACAATATACTAAAGTACAGCACAACTGGGTGCATTTATGAGATGTATCAATTAGGGAAATATAGTATAAAGGCATAGGCATACATACTGTACATACTTGAGGATTTCAAGCATAAAAAATATAGAAGCTGGAAGCCTAAACTGCACCCAATGTAATTTTCATTTTCAGATTGGTTTTTTTTTAAAAAGGAATGAAGTGTGAAGTAGTTAATAAGTTGCATATTGTGTAAGGAGTTAGGAGTGTCAGCAAAACAAATTCCCTTTTAATTAGTATCCCTGTATTTACGTGACTGCAATATTTTATTGCGAGAAAAAATGTGAAAACTCTTCCTAAAACATTGATGTTTTTGTCAAATTTTAACAAAAAGCTATGGTTTACATGGGCGTTCTTAAAACGGTGTTTTGAAATCTATTTTGTCTGTCGTGCGAGATATGTTATTCGATATTTATCGGTTGCAAATTAATAATTGTTAGTGGCTGGCGTGCCGTTTAAATATACAATATAAACATTGGCAAGATTCTTCAACAATCATTGATATCTCAAACGAAAACACTTGAACAAAGAAACGAATCCGAAAATTCACAACCGTTCTCGTGTAAGAGAATCATTATGAAGGTGTAAAAACTAAAAGAATCGTTGTGTATTGCATGTAATTTATAATATTAAGCAGCTTGCGGATATATATTAAAATCTTAAATTTCAAAACAGGCACTACTTGAGCGATAAAATCAGTATTTCCACAATACCACATTTCATTTTGAAATCCTCCTCAGATTTAATATTAATAAGAAGTCAATCACAACCTCAAAATGTGAAATACTTCGCGAAATAGTCGAGAAAAATAGAAGCGAATAGCGTGTTTTGGAAAATGTCAAAATCATTATTTGATTAGTTGCGTTTTAATTTCAGCAAACACATAGTCATTTGCCAAATGAGTGTTTTCGCCAAGAGATACAAATTAGAATACTTTAGTACTATACTCGTAGTATTTTGAGTTGTTTTTAAAGAACTATCGAAGTTTTTAAAGCCAAATAAAACGTAGTGCTGTCATAAAAAAATTGTCGGAATTCGACTCGGACTGTTTTGCAAACGGAAGTCACAAAAGCGAATGCAATTATGAATAGAATACGCGAATATTTCTAACGCTTTAACGACAACATACTGTAGTAAAAACATACCTTCGGACGTCGTAACAAACTTATCGCTCTTCTTCTTTCGCTTCCATTTCCAGGGTCGAAAAAACCTTCCGATACTAGCAGCGAATTTGGATCTCCTCGACGGTGGTGGCGTTCCGGGTGCTAGGCTGGCAGAACCTCTGGAGGACGAATTATGAAACACAGGCGTTATATTATTTATTGTTGGTTCGCTAGTGGCTCTCTCCCTTGAATTCACACCATTCTGTGGTCTGACAGCGCCATGATTTGAATCTGCCATTGAATTCTTATTGTTCCCCAATTACTTCTCCTTCGTTCTCGCCGACATTTTGAAGTTCTGTGTCACGTGATCGAAACTTTTCGTCCTACGCGAAGCCAGGGCGCAAGAACGCGGATGTCGGCGCAATGGGGTATCGACATTTAGGGCAATTTTAGCATAAGAAGCGTTGTTAAAATATAGTTTTAATTTCTTGCATGGGCTTGGCTTGGCGTGACCGGAACTAATTTATTTACCCCTTGCTGGGCACCAGATGGTATATTGACTAAATTGACACTTTTAACAGTAAGAAAATTATATGTTTTCATGCCCCCCACCCAGCCCAGGGGCGGTCTACCCTCGTCTGTAAGGAGGGGTTTCCATGGGGTGGTGCATGAGAGAGCCTTACTGTCCACTCTCCTCTGCAGTCTGCACGCTACTATCCCAACAGTTACATTACTATTATTTGAGATGGCCGAATCTGCATGTTCGCCGCCTGTTACGTTTTACATTATCTTTACGGCTGCTTTTTATCACGTATGCGTGACTGGACAGTTGCTGTAGCACAGTACAGTAAATTTGCTTGTTAAAGTACAGTATATTTGAAAATATGGCTGTATAACAACCTCGACATGTTTACATATTTAACCACGTAAAGCATTCTGAGTATTTTCTCGTGAGTCGTGAGCTCAGAAATCAATACACCATTTCGATAATTACGTCACACATACTTTTTGGTCTTGGACTGGTCTTGGAGCCTCGCTCTCAAATTACGCAAGGTGATTGGCTCACGATTCATGAGAGCGAGGCTCCCAGGCCAAATGATATATTAAATCGACACGCGCTAACCTCTGCGCGCTAACAGTAGAAGTTCCGCTAATCGCTATTCGAAAAGCAGAAAATATATTCTATATATTCTATATATGGTCAAGCAGATTTTTTTAGGGTGGTGCTGGACTTCTCTAGGGGATGCTAGACAACACTAGGTGGGGTGCACACCGCCCTGCAACCCACGGCAGATCCACCCCCCAAAAGAGGGGGATTTGATATTAGAGAGGGGCTTATGCTAATTTGAAAATGAGTGAGATTTTAATTAATTCACGACTTTTTCCGACAACAGACGGCGGATTCCGAAGTAGGAAATTAACATGGAATGTTTACAATTTTTACAGATCAACAACAACATTCGGCATCGGTTGTTTACATGGAATATATACAGTAGGTTTATATTGCCAAAAAAAGTAAGTCCATTAAATTTATAAACATCTGAATGAATTGTCTATCATAAAAGTGAGTTTATTCCCGCGGTTAAAACCACGTCGAATTTTTGTTTATCTAATAATATATTGATCTTTATCGTATTAAATATCATAGCGTTTATTGATTGTCATTTTATTTATTAGAAATTTTTATTACGTGACTAAATGTCCGATTGCTATCATAGACAATCGAGAAAGACTTCCTCTCATTGTCTGCTATGAAGTTAGATTGTTTATTGTTATAAGATAAACTGATCCCATTCCTATTAATTTAATTAATTAAACCTTAAAACTAGGCTAGTGAAAAAATTTTAAAGAAAAATTGTTTGAACAGAGTGTAGGCTGGGGAGTGTGTGCAGAGTTGTCGCAAAGAGGCTTAAGCAGGGTGGGGTGTGTGGTATCATATTTGCCGACAAATGTTAAATTTTGCAGATGACAATTCCTTAATGTACATTTTCATAAATCTGTCCAAATTTTAGCTATAATTTAAAGCCACATAAAAAAAGTTGGTTAGCATCCTTAGCTTTTGCCAAAAAGTGAGCGGGCGGGCGCTTTTTTTAAAAATTTTTACTAATTTTTAACGCCTTGGTTTTAGGTCCGAAACTGGATTTTCTTGCGCAGTAGAGATATTTTTTTGTATATTTCAAAATATGATTCATACCGTCATTTTCGCACACAATTTTGCAATTTATTAACACAATTGACTACAGTCAACAGAAATACTACGTATATTAGAGCCTGTTGACCCATAAAAGTTGGGGGTTTTTTAAATAAAAAAGAATCCTGAGCAGGGCCTTTTTTGTGGGCAGGCGAGGACGCTAACCAACTATTTTTTTTATATGGCCTAATAGTTTTTAATCAGTGTCACTCAAATATTTTAGTTCTTCCTTCCTATCCAACTCATGTTTTGCCAACAACGAAAACAACATGCCGACTAGGATTCAATAATCTTATGTAGAAATCACTGGCAAAATCGTTCATTTTGCCAACAAGATGTGTCGCACCCCCTACAGGCGGCAAGGGCTTCCACATGCTGAATGCCTGCACACCCTTGCTGCCTTTGTGTCTCCCATTCAGACTTACCACCACCCCATTACAGCAAAATATAATAATAATTACATTTATTCAGGATACCACATCACATACATGTTTTTCAGTCGGGTCCTGTATATAAAAAATACATTCATTTACAATATTTAAACAGTACGAAAAATGACAAATTTTTTTTTATTAACTTTACAATCAATTGGTAAGGACAACAGGACGCGAGTCCCTAATTAAGTCGCACCATTTTTTAATTTTTTTTTTAAATATGTACATACACTGTACAACAATGATAAAAACGAACAATGAATTATTTTATATCTTATTGCGAATCATTACAGATGAATTGTTGTTCTTTTAGTTGTTTTTAATTTTTGATGGTGTTATCCCGAGGATGGGCTGTGAAAAATTGGAGGCTGTTATTATGCACTATATTAGGAATACTAATCATTGGAGAATATCTCATTTATTTCATTGTCGCCATGTCATGGAATGTACCAACTAAAAAATCCAAACATGATCTAAAAGTACTGTTTGTCTCTGATCCACAAATACAGGTAAACAAGAAGTCTTCTCTGTCGTCAGACATAGGTCATAATCAGAAGTCAATGTTTTGTTCTGTTTTGTTTTTACACCAAAGTTAAATTTTCTAAAATTTTGTCTTAGGGATTTCAATTTGAACTCTCTGGTATATATGGCCACATCACAAGATGGGACGTTTGCCATTATCTCAAAAAGACATTTGGTTATGCTGTGAACCAAGTTGAACCTGATGTTGTTGTTTTGTTGGGTAAATTAACCCACTGAGTGCTAGCGCTGTCCCCTTGAGAACTAAAATTGTCTGGCATTAGACAGAGTAAAATAATAAAGTAAGGTGCATTAACCTATTGAGTACCAGAGCTCTACTCTCCCCTTGATGAGTAAAATTGTCTGGCATTAGACAGAGTAACCTGCCATTATACACAGAGTAACATAAAAAAGTAGCCCACATTATGGTGCAATGCAACTTAATGTATTAAACTAAACTTATAAAGTGAAACTCTATATTGAAATGGATATTTGAGTGGCAATTTATGTATCTCACATACAGGTGATTTACTTGACGAGGGATATGTTTCTTCAGATGAAAAGTTTCTTCAGTACAAAGTGAGTTTACATCAGTTATGCTAGACTGTCTAAAGTGTTAATTCCACCCATGAACTTTAATAGGTTCTTGCCTATCTGTGACTCGAACAATAGGGTAAATCAGTGAAAATTGCTATTGGTGGATTTGGCAAAAATACGTACAATACACACGTGGCAGAGCTAGTGAAGGACCAGATTTATGAATAAACGTTGACTAACATAGAAAATGAGTTATATTGTTATTCTATAATGAATTTCCAAACCATCTATTCTATTAACTATGTTGCACCTAAGGCAACTTTAAAGTCTCTGTGAGCCTTGCGGGACACCAGTTCTATCAATTACTAACCACGTGGCTAAGACGTGCAATAACACAATTTACCATTTATTAAGGAATGGTTTGAAGATATTTATACAGTTCCATCATCAGTAAAAAGAATTCATTTAGCTGGAGACAACGACATTGGTGGCGAGAGTGAACCGATTGAAGCAAATCTCCTAACGAGGCACGAGAAATATTTTGGACCAACTAACGAAATCATCAAATTCAATAATTGGCAATTTTTAAAGGTGGTCGCTTTCATCTATAAAATAACGTAGCCCTCTGTCGAGATATACTGGCCCTATAATATACTTGCATTCAACCCGCGAACTACACGCAGCAGTTAACCGTAGGCATAGTTTTTTTTAGTATATAGGTAGTACTGTATTTGCATGGGCAGGGCAACGCCAGAACTCCCTTTACAAATGCCAGAACTCCTTTATCAAATGACAAAACATGGTTTGCAAATGCCAGAACTCCATTTTCAAATGGCACAACTTGCTTTTCAAATGCCAGAAGTACCTTTTGAAACGCCAGAACTCCGCTTCCAAACGCCAGAACTCCCTTTACAAATGCCAGAACTCCCTTTTCAAATGGCAGAACTCCGCTTTCAAACGCCAGAACTCCCTTTACAAATGCCAGAACTCCCTTTTCAAATGGCAGAACTTGGTTTTCAAATGCCAGAAGTACCTTTCCAAACGCCAGAACTCCCTTTACAAATGCCAGAACTCCTTATCAAATGACAAAACTTGGTTTTCAAATGCCAGAACTCCTTTATCAAATGACAAAACTTGGTTTTCAAAAGAACTGCCTTTTCAAATGCACAACTTGCTTTTCAAATGCCAGAAGTACCTTTTGAAACGCCAGAACTCCGCTTTCAAACGCCAGAACTTCCTTTACAAATGCCAGAACTCCCTTTTCAAATGGCAGAACTTGGTTTTCAAATGCCAGAAGTACCTTTCCAAACGCCAGAACTCCCTTTACAAATGCCAGAACTCCTTTATCAAATGACAAAACTTGGTTTTCAAATGCCAGAACTCCTTTATCAAATGACAAAACTTGGTTTTCAAAAGAACTGCCTTTTCAAATGCACAACTTGCTTTTCAAATGCCAGAAGTACCTTTTCAAACGCCAGAACTCTGTTTTCAAACGCCAGAACTCTGTTTTCAAACGCCATAATTCCTTTTACAAATGCCAGAACTCCTTTATCAAATGACAAAACTTGATTTTCAAATGCCAGAACTCTCTTTTCAAATGGCACAACTTGGTTTTCAAATGCCAGAAGTATCTTTTCAAACGCCAGAACTCCGCTTTCAAACGCCAGAACTCCCTTTTCAAATGGCAAAACTCCCTTTTCAAATGCCAGAATTTGGTTTTCAAACGCCGGAATTCCGTTGTCAAAGTCTAGTTAATGTGGATGACTTTAAGACCCCCTAGATCGCTCCCCACAGGCAACTACACACGTAAAACTCTCACATCTTGTAGCAAGTCGGCCAAACAAATCGTCAACAAGTTGTGTTCGCACTGCTTGTCCCAAGTTGTCAACAAGTTTGGAACAAGCTGTTAACAACTTGTAACAACCTTGTTGATATTATCAGACTTGTTGCAAGGTTGTTCCAACAAGTCCGATACAGTCATGATATAACAATATGGTTACAACCTTGTGTCATCAACCTTGTAACATTCTTGTTATACCATGACTGTATCAGGCTTGTTAGAACAACTTTGCTACAAGTCTGATAATGCCATCAAGCTTGTTACAAGTTGTTAACAGCTTGTTCCAAACTTGTTACAACAACTGGGAACCAGCAGTGCGAACACGACTTGTCGACAGCTTGTGAACAGATTTGTCGTTTTTACGTGTGTACATATGCATCTACACACGTAAAAACGCACAAGTTGTAACAAACCTGCAGCAGACTTGTAGCAATGCTGTTCCAACAACTTGTCAACAGGATGTGTTCGCACTGCTTGTTCCCAGCTTGTTGACAACTTGCTACAAGGTTGTTGAGCTCAATAGACTTGTTACAAGTTGTTCCAACAACTTGTTATCGTCCTGCAATTCAACAATTTGTCAACAAGTTGTGAGTGACAACCTTGTAGCAACTTGATAAAATAACAGTATTGTTACACTTTGTTGACAAGCTTGCTACAAGGTTGTTGAGCTCAATAGACTTGTTACAAGTTGTTCCAACAACTTGTTATCGTCCTGCAATTCAACAATTTGTCAACAAGTTGTGAGTGACAACCTTGTAGCAACTTGATAAAAATAACAGCATTGTTACAACTTGTTGACAAACACATCTTGCCGGTTGACAAGTTGTGAGATTTTTACGTGTGTGAGAAATAGCAGGGCTTCGCTTTGTCTTAAATGTAGTTGGTATACTTCAATTTGTAAATTCAATCTTTGTTTGAAATATTTAGCTCAGCACACTCAGTTTTCTGCGTTATTTTCGATTCACGACCGCAGACGAAAGGAGAATATTCGACAATCTAAATATGTTTATGACGTCGTCAGTGACAAAATTGGATGAGAATAAACACACGTTGGTGTTGAGTCATCTGCCGCTAGGGTACTGGGACCCACACTTTGCACTGAAGGTAAGACGCTTCACAGAGAGTACATCACCTTTTGGTTGTTTTTGTACTACACACGTAAAAACGCACAAGTTGTAACAAACCTGCAGCAGACTTGTAACAATGCTGTTCCAACAACTTGTCAACAGGATGTGTTCGCACTGCTTGTTCCCAGCTTGTTGACAACTTGCCAACGGCTTGTTGACAACTTGCTACAAGGTTGTTGAGCTCAACAGACTTGCTACAAGTTGTTCCAACAACTTGTTATCGTCTTGCAATTCAACAATTTGTTAACAAGTTGTGAGTGACAACCTTGTAGCAACTTGATAAAATAACAGCATTGTTACAACTTGTTGACAAGCTTGCTACAAAAATCTCACATCACGTAAAAATCTCACATCGTGTAGCAAGTCTGCCAACAAGCCGTCAACAAGTTGTGTTCGCACTGCTTGTCCCAAGTTGTCAACAAGTATGGAACAAGCTGTTAACAACTTGTAACAAGCTTGATAACAAGTCTGATAATGCCATCAAGCTTGTTACAAGTTGTTAACAGCTTGTTCCAAACTTGTTACAGTGCGAGCACAACTTGTCGACAGCTTGTGAACAACTTGTGCGTTTTTACGCACAAGTTTGTTACAAGTCTGTTCACAAGCTGTTAACAAGATGTATTCGCACTGCTTGTCACAAGTTGTCAACAGGTTTGGAACAACTTGTTGACAACTTGTAACAACCTTGTCGAAATTATCAGACTTATTGCAAGGTTGTTCTGACAAGTCTGTGACATGCTTGATATAACACAAGATTGTTACAACCTTGTGTTGACAACCTTGTAACATCCTTGTTATATCATGGCTGTAACAAACTTGTTAGCACAATCTTGTAACAAGGCTGATAATGCCATCAAGCTTGTTATAAGTTGTTAACAGCTTGTTTCAAACTTGTTACAACAAACTCGGAACAAGCAGTGCGAAGACAACTTGTTGACAGCTTGTGAACAGACTTGTAACAACTTGTTTGCAGACTTGTAACAACTTGTGCATTTTTACGTGTGTATTGCATGCAACAACTTGTAACAAGCTTGATGGCATTATCAGCCCTGTTACAAGATTGTGCTAACAAGTTTGTTACAGCCATGATATAAATGTTACAAGGTTGTCAACACAAGGTTGTAACAATCTTGTTATATCAAGCACGTCACAGACTTGTCAGAACAACCTTGCAACAAGTCTGATAATTTCGACAAGGTTGTTACAAGTTGTCAAAAAGTTGTTCCAAACCTGTTGACAACTTGTGACAAGCAGTACGAATACATCTTGTTAACAGCTTGTGAACAGACTTGTAACAAACTTGTGCGTTTTTACGCGTGTAGCCTACTCCTATGGTATTTCGTCGGATTATTCATTCCTTTCTTACACAAAACACGTAAAAACCTCACAACTTGTCAACAAGATGTATTCGCAACAGGCTTGTAGCAAGCTTGTCAACAAGTTGTAACAATGCTGTTATTTTATCAAGTTGCTTTAGTGCGAACACATCCTATTGACAAGTTGTTGGAACAGCATTGCTACAAGTCTGCTGCAGGTTTGTTACAACTTGTGCATTTTTACCTGACGAATAATATAGGAGACGCATCATAATACGACCAGTCAGAAGGGCTATCGCTACCCAACTTTGCTTAACTTAAAAACCTCCAACTATTGTTCTACTTTAGGAAAGCGTACAAAGTATACTTTCTTAGTTGCCTTTGTTCCATTCCTCCCGTTAACTAAAACAAATAACTAAACGTCGAGCAATGCGAACTAATATTTGACGTCACGGGCGGTAGTATTAGTTTGATTTCGGCAAAGAGGATACTAATTTGCAATATCATAAAATGAGGTGTATAGCTTTTGAACTGACGGCTCGGTGGGAGTCATACATATAGAGCTGGCGGTTAAACCTTTTAAGTGTCGGCACTCTCGTATTGGGTACATTGCCACTTCAAAGGGTTTTAAGCTTTCTAAAACAGCTAATACAGTTCATTTCGTGATATTACTTGGATAGGAACAAAGGTCATTTAAGTATTTGAGACTTTCTCTGCATACAATATTAACCCAAATGAAAATTGTGTTTATAGGTACTCAATAATATTAACCCAAGAGTAATATTCACTGGACATGATCACAAGGTAAAAAATATGGACGGTCTTTATAATATCGAATACGCTTTGGAATTGCAAAATGTGTGGCCGTCGCAATGAATGCAACAACCTCGCAACCTAGGCTGTTTACCTCCACCCTGAAATCGCGCTATGTGTCGGTGCTTGTGAATTTGGAATGTTCCTTAACAAGAAATCACTTCCAGAGAGTTGGACCAGTCAGCGAGCCAGTCACTCATATAAGGTTTTAGGTCGAATCTTACAGCACACATACAGGGTTTAAATATTTGGTTAAATATTGCCAGAATGCTTAACGCGATCTTTTTATGTCAAAACAGCATCTTTTTAAGAACCTATAAATTCATTGAATAGATCAGTGGATTAAGAAGAAAAACCCATTGTTGCTAATTTAGAAGTCGCATTAATGATTTAAACTTTATCATTCAGCCAAAATACAGAATGTACAAAGTAGGCAGTTTTTCAACAGAAGAACACGTGGTCCCCACGTGCAGCTACAGAATGGGTACCATCGATATGGGCTTTGGTGTTGCTATGCTTGGTGAGTATTAGTTAAGTATGTGTACCAGTATGAATAACTCAAATACAATACATATTCATGCCTGGTCCTTGCCACCAGGGGTGGGAAAAGTATGGGACCTAGGGAATTTTTTCAGTTCCCAGAAAAGTTTTTCCCCAAGAAAGAAAGAAAGAAAGAAAGCAAGCAAGCAAGCGAAGGGAAGGGAAGGGAAGGAAGGAAGGAAGGAAGGAAAGAAAACAAAAGGAAGGGAAGAAAAGAAAAGAAAGGGAAGGGAGAGAAGGAAGGAAGGGAAGGGAAGGGAAGGGAGGAAGGAAGAAAAGACAATTGTAAAAGTTTAGATAAATGGAAATGCTGTATTTTTAGTCAATCTGGGACAGCTGATTTTCAAAATTTTCTGGAGAGCATGGATCCCCCCCCCCCCCCCTGATAGTGCCCTTTATAAAAATATGTTGGCCAAATTTGTCTAACAGCCATTATAAGAATAACTAACAATCCTCCCCTTCTCATTTCCAGGTGAAAATGGTTCCTTTCATTACACTGTATTAAAGTTGCCTAGAAGATATTTCTTTTTATATTTTTATATTGTAGCTTGTACATTCAGTTTGTTGTACATAATATTGTTTAGGAAGAAAAGAACAACGTAAATATATTCTCGGCTATTATTTTAAAATAAAGAAAATTGCTACAACCACGAGATGATTATCTTTATTTATTCCCTAATGCTTTAACAATTTGCTAATTGCTAATTAGTTACAAATTTAATTAATGCCGTGTATTTAAACGCCTGGTACGTAGCATCTATTATCATGGATATGTCCCATGTATGAATTTAAAATCTCCTTAATTCCTTGGTGTCAATGACAGACGAGATGAAAGATCAATTAATTAATTAATTGATTTATTATTAGCATGACAAAATTACTGGATGCTGATTGGTTGAGAGGAGTACAATTATTTCATTAATTGTACTGCAGTACAATTAATAATTTTCCCAAAACAAACAAAATGGCGGAAAGGTATTTTAAACACAAGCGTGAAATGAAATTGCCCTTGAGGAACTAGATGAAAATACAAACAAAAGCACCAAATTTTGCTTCAACAAAAGAACTAAATGAAAATACGGACAGAAGCAACAAATTTTGGTTGAAAGTCTGGCAGGACTTGGCTTTGGCGAGAGAATATACGATGTTAACATTGAGAAGTATCCAATTTTTTCATGCTAATAATAAACAAGTAAGCAAAATTTCCAAATATCACTCGTACTATTAATCCATAATTGTACGAGCAACATCGCATGATTACCTATACTAATTAAGGTACAATTACGCTAAAACCTGATCATATATTCATGTGTAAATCACTTTGCTCTGTGATAATAGATCAGCAACATCTTCATTGGTTGTTACTTCAAAAATGGGAGAATTTTTGTTTCAAAAAATTCCTGAGTGAATCTCAGATGATCTCCATCAGCTCCAAGGAAATGCAGCTTTCCTGCCGCGTCCATTTCTTTTAGACCCAGCCAATCCTTGGAAAAAAATCAACGCGAATATTATAGGTCAGCAAGTAAATGGGTGAGCTAAGCCGGCTAAATTGCGAAGGACGTAGCCCAATCTAAGTTAAAGGCATTCTATAAGGACGCTTCTAGAATGACACCTTATATGACTCACGTCTGATCACCAGCTACGATGAAAGGGTCATTTAGGGAGCTAATCCCAACCCAAGCTGACAATATTCCTTGTGGGAGGAAACCTGATTACCCGCGAAGAAAACCCACGATTTTCGGTAGAGCGCCGGCCTGTGTACAGCGTTGACTGTAAATCAACAGGATTTTGTCTCAGAGAAGCAAGCTCATTTTCTTTGTATTTTCTCTGGTATTAAATAGTGTTAGGAATGGATGGTATACATCGAAAGGTTTTATATATTTTTATATAACAGAATAAAGTGTCTACCAAACGTACCTCTGTGTAAAGTGGGCTTTCCTGTAATGTGTAAAGTTCTTTATCTTGACCTGGTCTGTAATATCCGAACCACTACAAACAGATCAATAATATTAATATAATCACCAATATCCACTGTTCGATTGCCACTAGTGGTAATGCATGAAAAACTGTGTTAAGAAGGTGTTAGTAGCTTGCAAATGGAAGCACTAACGTATTTTTAGAGGGAGGGGGCATTATCAACAGAAGAATTATCAAAGACAAAGGTGGTAAACGCCGTAATAATGATACATATTTTTTAAGAGGAAGCCTATTTCACTGTACAAAAGGTATTCTAAAACGTCCTCTGTTTAAATTAGATTAAAATAAATAAAAGCAAAGATAAAAGGGCTCTAAATTAGTTAAAACTAATAACTTTTTAGATTCCTTGTGAATATATCATAAAAGTTAAAAACTAGAAAATGTACAAAGTCAATAAGACTATAAATTAGTTAACTAATTGTCACTCAGGAACTTTTTATACGATTCCTTGTGAATATATGAATAGGTATAGGCTTTTTAAGATCATCAGGTAGGGAGTTCCAATGATGCTGTGTCGCCAAAATCCTTCCATGCATACCTCAGATTCCTTGGGAATAACCATTGTATCTTGCAAAAACTTTACCATCACAAAATTCTTCAGTTTCATGAGGTTTTCTTTGTAAGTACTGTTTTTCACCTACAGAATATTTCACACAGTAAATGAGTATGACCACATTTCATTCTTATCATGTTATGATGTGAGGGGGGCGTACCCCTCCTACTCATTGTGTCCAGCACCGCCCTAGTGATATCCAGCAACCCCCTTGAAGAAAACTCTGGAATTCCATATTAAGTTTCGATTTCCCGCTTTTTAAATTGTGAATACTACTTATCATATTGAAACGATTGATTTCGAAATACGCGAGAAAATACTCAAGCACAATACAAGCACTGTGAGGACAAATTTAACAAATAAATGTAGTGTTCAGAATGCAGGAAATGGCATTCAAGACTTCAGATTTCAAAAATATTTTGAGGGAGAATGCCCCGTAGTAATTCAACCCTTCTGGAAAACCTCCATCCTCTCGAACAAAGGAGGCTGGATCTACCCCTGCAGAACAGAAAGCTAGCAGGTCAAAATTATTTTTAAATACCCTTTCTTGATTGATGTCGGCCAAGAACACGCTTTTTGTTTTGTATTCGTCTTCTTTCAACGGATCATGCCAATATTCAGCTTGAACAATGCTATCAAGTTAGAAAGATAAATTATAGAAGAATGTCTAAGTATTGAAACTCTAAACTTGGCTGGTTCTTTTTTAAATACAAATACGACATATGTACTTACTTGTCTTGGATCCAGCTAAAATGTAATTGAAAAAAAATGCTCTTATTAAGTATGCAGTATATTCATTTGGTAAAGTGTATACAAATATCGAATTGGTTAACATGCTGTGCGCTCAAACTGGTTTCACTATTGTAAGGCTTTCATTAATTTTCAAACACAAGAAGAATCATCTCAACGCCAACGTATTTTCTTGCGTTTGAATGCACGTCTCATCTTTTTAATGATCTATGATTTTACTCTTTCAAAAGGAAACCACATGTGCACTTTAGTTAAGAACTCCCGTTATGACTAACCTTATATAAGCTCCATAATCCAACAATTTACGCACATATTCACAGAGTGTTGAATTCGAAGCAGGGCAATGTGGAAGTCCAAAAACTCCTATAAATAAATTATGTTTTTGACGGAAAACATGAACCCTTTATATACATGTTACATGAGTCTATCACGAATTATATAATTTAGTTACCAGTGACAGTTTGTTAATGTTACCTTGATGTTGTCCACCAAAACTGATGAGGTTTATCATTGGCGGATATGGACACCTTTGAGCAACAGCACGACTAGAATGTTGTGAAAATGCAAAATAAATCCTCTATTTGAAACTTTATTTAATGATGTTAGCCCCGTCACCAAAAGCTGGTTTCGATGGGGGCGTCCGGACCGTATATATACATAAAAGAATCATTGACAATTATACAAAACAAATAACCTCTACAATAACAAATAAGATACTGTTGGGGTATTAAATACAAGATCGCTGTGTGATGCAGACATCGAGAACTGGATGGCTTATTGATTTAAAGGCATAAATCGATGTAGTTGTCCAACATTTTCCAGAAGTACATTCCATAATCTGTAGCTCCGCTGTAGTTGAACGGTTTTCATTTTGCGTGAGAAATTCTCCTTTCGGCATTGGAAGTGACAGATTTGTGTTATTATTTCTAAGATCATATGCTGTTTGTAAACATTTGTTTCAAATCGGGAGCACTGTGGTTATTAAGGATTTTATAAAGATAGATAGATTTGGGCTGGTCTTGCATTAAGAGGTTTCTAAGAGAGTAGTACATCAAGGACCACACAGCAAAGCTTTGATTATATATAATGAACATATAATTAATTGTGTTCAACAATTTGGTGAACATTAATTATAGCACATATACGTACAGAAATTGACCTCCTTGGGAGAAGCCCATGGCATTGTAACCTTTCTTCAGCTTATCGTCTGTCGCCACTTTCTGGCACACCATGTCAACCTGATGTTTCAAAATGATCAGTTTTGTGTTATTTGATAAATAAAAGACAGAAATAAACCAGCTCTAAGATTTGCTTGTAAAGCCACATGAATTGCACAAACCTGTTTGTTCACGTTCATTAAAAATCCATTCTCAGTGTCCTTTAAAGAAACAAGTATTTTCTTATTGGTGGCACCAGTGAGCAGTGGTTTAATAATTACCACACGGCATGTGCATTTCGTATTTTTAACTAAGATTCATAACTTTAAGACTCCTACTGGACCTCTAATGAGAACAGTTTAGAACTGATAGATGTATCCAGTGTAAATAAAGTTAGTTTAGTTTAGGTTTCTTCCTGTAGAAACACTGGATCAATAAAAGATGATTCTTAATTACTGGACCTCTTGGTAGAACAGTTTAGAACTGATAGAGCCATCCAGTATAAATAAAGTTAGTTTAGGTTTCTTCCTGTAGTAACACTGGATCAATAAGAGATGATTTTCAATTACTGGATATCTAGGGAGAACAGTTTAGAACTGATAGAGCTATCCATTATAAATAAAGTTAAGTTTAGTTTAGGTTTCTTCCTGTAGTAACACTGGATCAATAAAAGATGATTCTTAATTACTGGACCTCTAGGAAGAACAGTTTAGAACTGATAGAGCTATCCAGTATAAATAAAGTTAGTTTAGTTTAGGTTTCCTCCTGTAGTAACACTGGATCAATAGGAGAGGATCCTTACTGCACCTCAAGTTAGAACAGTTTAGAACTGATAGAGCTATCCAGTATAAATAAAGTTATCTTGATGGTAATTTAATTTAACCTACAAGTAAAGGTACTTATGAAGCACAAACTATTAAATCTGAGCTTGACCATTCCTACCTCAATAATATTGTTACCAATCATCAATGATCGGACATAAATTCCTGGAATTAACTTCTCCACCATTGACTTGATGGATCCCATACTCAGGGGATTACAACAACTGTCACCTAACAAGGATTCAATTCCTTTTCATCATCTCTTTTATTGACAAAGGAAATCATTTCATCACTTATGGCTGAGAGTATATAATTTTACTCTCTCCTATCCACTGCTTCCCCATGTCATCAGTAACCAGTACATGGTTCCTCAAATTTTCATAATTCATCCAAGGGAGAGATCTAGCCTGATCTGCAAGGAGGGGAGCAGGGTTTCTATACGGTGATCCATGAAGGAGCCTTACTGTCCACTCTCGTCTGCAGTCCGCAACGCTACCATCACAACATTACTATTATTTGAGACGGCCAAATCTGATGTTCACCGTTCTGTTACGTTTTACATGATCTTTTTGCATTATCATATACTATCTCATACATTTGCATATTATCTCATACAATGCCAGACATTTCAGTTATTGAGTTGACATATTAACTTATTAACCCATTCAGCACCAGTGCTCTGCCCATGACGAGTCAAATTGTCTGGCATTAGACAGGGTAGAATAATAACATCTGAGGGCAGTCATCAGGGCGCTGAATGCAACTTACAATCCAGACTGCATTTTCTGCACCGCGCGGGGAAGATCTTCTGCACACATTTTTTGATGCTTTCTATATATTTACTATTAAATTTTTGAAATCTCCAGCGCGCAATTTCCAAATTTGCAGTCTGGCGGCTTACAGTAATGGGTTTAATGCCCAGACGTTCCGCACCAGTGTGGAAAGTTTGCATCGTGCAACTGAGATGGGCTAGCAATTTTGATTTTTCTATATATTCACTATATATTTCCAGTCCAGTGTGGAAAGTTTATATCGCACGGCGGAGATATTGGCCGCGCAACTTTGATGCTTTCTATATATTTACTATTAGATTTTCGAAATTTCCGGCACACAATTTCCAAACTTTCTAGTCAGGTTTTCACAAAGTATGTTGTACTAAAGACATGCCAAAAGGTCTGCTTTAAAACCACTAACTTTCAAAACTGGCTTTTATACAGAAAGGGAGGAAGTGGACTGCTTCGCCACTTACATGGTTAATAATTGACAGGTAAATATAAATTTGGGCTGTTTCTAATGTTAAAATGTTTATCAAGACAACTTTTAATTGTATGATGTATCATACCTTTATTGTTATAATGTTCAAGACAAGTTAAAATTTTTAAAACATCTGTCGAAAATGACACATTTCACATTGCAACTTCTAAACAAATTAATTGCGACATACGAAATTTGAAAACTCACCCATTCCGTGCCAAATAACGACAGGAATCGTTGCATTGGTAGCCATCGTTCCTCCAAGAATCATGAAGAATGCACAACATACTGGCAGCAAGAAACGAAACATTTTGAACAAAAAATTGCACCAAAACTCGCTTTCTGTACAACACTCAAACACTGCCTGCCCAAATGATTTTGACAGAAGTCACATGAGCGCCGAGGCCGCGCAGTGTTTCGCAATTTTGAAAAAAAAACTGGGTCTAGTTTAAAAACACATCATCCAGGAGTAGGCCCAATTCGCCGAAAGGGGTTCGGGGAACGAGATTCCGACGAAAAATGCACAAGTTGCAGCAGACTTGTAGCAATGATGTTCCAACAACTTGTCAACAGAATGTGTTCGCACTGCTTGTTCCAAGCTTGTTGACAACCAATCTCGTACCCAGAGCAATGCCTGTGCGCGGGCTAGGATGGCATTGGCTCTGGGGAAATTGAATTTTTCCTGTGCTGTGATTGGTTTAACGTTTATCAATCGTGCATGCCGACAAAGAACCGGAACCCCTAAATTTAGGAATTCCGGTTGTCAATTTCCCCAGAGCCAATGCCATCCTAGCCCGCGCACAGGCATTGCTCTGGGTACGAGATTGGTTGACAACTTGCTACAAGGTTGTTGAGCTCAACGGACTTGTTACAAGTTGTTCCAACAACTTGTTATCGTCCTGCAATTCAACAATTTGTCAACAAGTTGTGAGTGGCAACCTTGTAGCAACTTGATAAAATGACAGCATTGTTACAACTTGTTGACAAGCTTGCTATAAGGTTGTTGAGCTCAACAGACTTGTTACAAGTTGTCTCAACAACTTGCTATCGTCCTGTAATTCAACAATTTGTCAACAAGTTGTGAGTGACAACCTTGTAGCAACTTGATAAAATAACAGTATTGTTACACCTTGTTGACAAGCTTGCTACAAGCCTGTTGCGAACACATCTTGTTGACAAGTTGTGAGATTTTGACGTACGAAGGCTGGTCTTTCGAACAGGACGGTTTTTGAACAGGTTCGTTGATCAAAATCTATGGGCAAAGAGCTATTTATGTACTATTCAAAACACGATCAAATATCAATTACAGACAATAGTCTAACTTACGCAAATTTCTTTTCAAATGACATCATTTTTACGACGCGCGCTCGCTAAAAAGCTTGGGAAAAAGTTGTGATGCGAACTCCTGGTTGAGAGCCTGTTCGCATGCTAGGCAAGTCTAGGACTATATTTTACCAAAAATTTTAAACTACTCTATTCACAAATATTTATTATAAAATAAAAAGTTAAAAAAATAACATACACCGATACACATGATATTCGTGATCGCCTTCTGACGTAAAATCTGAAAACGTTTTGAAAGGTACAGTACAACACATCTATCTACTCAAAATATTACATCAGTATCAATACTACAGAGCAGAGATACATGTCTAATTACTGATACTAAATCGAATACGAATCGTTGTACTAAAATATAATGAAAAACTAAGTATATACAAGAAATTATGTGGAAATGCTTGGGTGTTACACCTTGAGTCAGAATATGGAGAAAAATGTCTGAAGTTACACGTGAATTTATATGCAAACGTGTTTATATACAACAGTCAACATGTATATTTCATAAGTAAAGCGCATGTATTTTATGTTCACTTGTTTAGAAGATAACCAGGGGCCGGTTGTTCAAAAGCCGATTAACTACTTAACCCTAGGTTAACCTAAAATTCAAAGCAAACTTTCCAACAGCTTGGTTATAAACTTGGAAATATTTCTTCAGAAATCTTGTCTGGACAAATGAGAGTTTTCTTCTCTGTACTTTTGAAACAAATAGATGTGCAGAAATATATAAACTAAAACAGCAGGTTAAATTTTAACCCAGGGTTAGCGCTAATCTTGGCTTATGTATCGGTTCATAGGCAATAGAACTCGATACAAGGTTTGGCAACTCGATAAAGACATACCGTATTTACTCGTTTGAGCGCCGCGGCGCTCTTTAAATTTTCAGAGCTTCAGATGCGGCGCTCATTCGGGGGCGGCGCTCAATCGGGGGCGGCGCCCTTTAAAATATATTTTATTTGTGAATTATAACAAGAACTTTTAACAATGAAATAAACAAATATTAAAATGTCTTCGTCACTAAATGTCTCCATTTTGACGGTGGAAAGTTTTTACACTGTTTAGTGCGGCGCTCATTTGGGGGCGGCGCTCTTTAAAAAATTTTGATCTCAAATGCGGCGCTTATTCGGGGGCGGCGCTCAATCGAGTAAGTTAGAGTTATAAACCGAGTAGGAGGTTTATAACTGATATATTGCCCCCGAGGACGCGTACCGTCCGAGGGCAATATATCAGTTATAAACCGACTTTCGAGGTTTATAACTAACTTATATCACATTCGTGGAGGTTTTCTAACATATTTTGTCATTTTCAAAAATGTTTAATGAAAAATTCTCGCGTTTTGTCTACAAGTTTAATCTAATCATTTATTCAAGGTATATAAGCTAGTTATAAACCTCGGACGAACAAAGAAAACCGACGCAAGTGTGATATAAATACGGTAATACATCTCATTATCTATGTTTTGTCTTGGTATATGCACGAAATGTAATGTTTTTCTCGTCCAACCAACAGTAGCAGTGTGTTGGTTCAATTACCCAGTCGTGATATTACACAATGGTTGAATGAAAACATAGCTATTGGTTGCTCTAGCGAAAATACAATAGTCAATACACATGTGACGATGAACCGACAATTTCTTGCACAAACCAAGACAAAAAACATAGATAATGAGGTGTGTTATATCTGCATCGAGTTTCTTAACGTTTTTATTCTATTGACAAACCAGAACAAGAGATGGTTAGTCTGGATTTACAGCCCTAAAAATCTCACATCTTGGAACAAATCTGCCAACAAGCTGTCAACAAGTTGTGTTCGCACTGCTTGTCCCAAGTTGTCAACAAGTTTGCAACAAGCTCAGTGGCGTAACTACTATGGGCTCGGACCGGGCGAACCCGGGGGCCCCCAATGGGCCAAATGGGGGCCCCCAGGCTCAGGCTGTAGAGTAAAAACATTGGCCAGGGCCTCTGATATGTTACAATGTCGTTTTCTGACCATCAAAATTCGGTAAAATCTCTCCCCAAAGTCCAGGAAATGGCATTTCAGAGACTCTAGATTCAAAAATTTTCCGGGTCCTGGACCCCCTAAAAAACTCGTGCATATACGGCGGTCGACTCGTGCCTTTGGCACTTATACTAGCGGGGCCTTCGAAAATTTTGATCTGGGGGCCCCCTGATATAACGTTACGCCACTGGACAAGCTGTTAACAATCTGTAATTTGATATTATCAGAATTGTTGCAAGGTTGTTCCAACACGTCCGATACAGTCATGATACATTATAACAATATTGTTACAACCTTGTGAGGTCAAATTTGTAATATTCTCGTGATAACATGACTGCATCAGACTCCTCAGAACAACCTTGTAACAAGTTGTCCAAACTTTTTACAAGAACTAGGAACAAGAAGTGCAAACACAAGAGTTTTTTGAACATGGAAATTTCACGTGCAAATTTTATAGGCTTTACCAGGAGCAGGGTCAGGTCTAAGTAAATGTATCAAATTTACACTCAAAACTTCCATGTACAGGGTGTCTAAAAAAAAACGCTATGGAAATTCAACAGGCTGTCGTGCATCATAAACGTGGCTAAACAATTCAATTTTTACATAGGACGAAAGAACAGTCATTTAGCTTTTCAATGATACTCTTTTTAATTCGTAACGATGAGAAATGGCCACATACTCGTCAAATAAAAATTGCCGGTCGAAATCACATTCTTCCACCGTTGGGAACTGCATGGAAAACGAAACATAGACAATTCCCAAGAGGGAATTAAAGTCGAATGATAAATTATCTAAAATGTGAGAGAATAAGAACGTCCATTATTGCATTAAACATGGGTTCAAATAACCACTGAACAGAGAACATTCGTAATCAAAATGTTTTAAGCAAATAGCCTGCAGCAGGCTCGCGTTGCTTTTGGATTCGGAGTTATTTTCAATTCCCAACGGTGGAAGAATGTGATTTCGACCGACCATTTTTCATCGTTGCGGTTTAAGAAAGGTATCATTAAAAAGCTAAATAACAGCTCTTTCGTTCTATGTAAAAATTGAATTGTTTAGCAGAAGTTTGTGATGCACAACAGCCTGTTGAATTTCCATAGCGTTTTTTTTTAGACGCCCTGTATACAATACCCTTAGATTATGACCCCAGAAATAACGCTAGCATTATAAGATCAATATATATATAGCTTGAAAATCTAAAACTGTTAGTATGCGTTAAAATATTAAAACTGTGAAGATGCAAATGCATTGTTCGTAGTACCTTTGCTTTCTGCTCGCTATATTAGTGTGTTACTCATTAGGTAACTATTGGAATACAATACAATACATTATGGTACCACATTATGTACCATCAAGATTTTGTCCTAGTGAATTATTAACTTATCTGGGTTTCTTGACTTCGTCGACATCCCTGTATTGTTTATCGTCCTGGTAGTAGTCCTTTAACTGCCAAGCTAGTGTTTCGAAAGTCGGTCGTTCTTCAGCTGCGGGTGACCAACACTTTAACATGATCGCGTAGAGTTTCTCCGGAACTTTGGCCGGTTTGGGCATCCTGTAGGTAGTGTCAGCGATCTTTCGTATCACCTGAAAAATGAAAGCTAAATATACTGATACACTGCAAATAATTTATGAGAAAATTTACTCGATTTTTGGGTGAAGTAAACCTTTGTAACCCAGAATATTGAGTAGACTTGGTTCAATAATAGAAATAAGACGATTTTCGTACCTCAGCATTGGTCATACCGGGGTATGGAATCCTTCCAAAGGTCGTTATTTCAGTCAGCAGAATACCAAAGGACCATACATCGGACTTTATTGAGAACTTATTTTCCAGACACGCCTCGGGTGCAGTCCACTTGATAGGAAAGCGAGCGCCTTCGTGCGCTTCATAGATATCTTCAACCAGCACTCGAGACAGCCCGAAGTCGGCAATCTTGACAACCATGCTATCGCCTACCAAGACATTTCTCGCGGCAAGATCACGGTGCACAAAACCGTGCGATTCTAGGAACGCCATGCCCTCTGCAACTTGGGCTGAGATGTCGATCATCTTGGCCATATCGAGAATACTTCGACCTTCTCCGTGCAAATATTCCAACAAACTGCCTTTCGTCATAAGTTCTGTTACGATATATATTGGCTCTTCACGCGAACATACTGCATACAACTGCACTAGTTTTGGATGGATCAGTTTCTTCATGATCTCTGCCTCTTTTAAGAACGCTTCAGGTTGCATGGTTCCTTCTCTGAGGGTTTTAATTGCAACTGGTGTCGTGCCATTCCAGATTCCTTGCCAGACCTCTCCAAAATTGCCTGCGCCAAGCTTTTTCGCAAATTTCACTGCGCTCTTGTCGATTTCCCATTTATCTGCCATGTTGTAGGACAGCCCGACTGTTTGGGGTTTTTCCAACTAAAATTATAACATGAATGTAATGATTCTGGGCATGAACTCAGATGAAGATATAATTAACCCATCGAGTGGCAGCCTCTCCCCCTGACGAGTAAAATCGTCTGATGTTACACAGAGTAAAATAACCTGGCATTAGAGAGAGTAAAATAATAAGTAGGCCACATCAGGGCACACTGCCACTTAAAGCAGCAACATGACACTGTCCAAGTGTCTCCATAGTAACCTGAAAATTTTGCATGAGTGATAATTGAACCTACAATGGCAATGTCCAAAGCTCTACAAAATGAGCTACAAAGTTATCACCCAAGACTTCAGTCGGGCAGCACAAGTAATATATTCTAATCACGTGAGAACTCAACTAATATGCACACATGAAAGTAAACTACAGTTTATAAACTTGACATCTTTCATGGCATGTCTAAGGGTTTCAAAGAAGACAGAAAACTGTCGCGCTAGTCGACTACAATGGATGTTCAAACAGGTTAGTTTCGTCAATGAAAAACTGCATTAAGAAATAATGAATATAATAAATTAAGAAATAATGTACTATTATAAAAGTAGAAAGCTGTACCTTACTACAGGGGACGCTTAATTTATCACAAAGGCCATCCGACTCTTTTTTATAGTGCTCGACCAAATCCTGGAGAGTCGTAAACTCGCTTCTTCTTGTGATGAAAAAACCTTGATTGTTATCGAGCGCTCGTATTCTGTAATGCTTAACGACATCTCCATCGCGAACCGACAGGGCAAAATTGTTGCCAGCATTCTCGCTTTCTCTGATCAAGTACGCACCATGTTTGTTTGCGGGGGACAGAAGAAATTTCTGCGCCTCTGTACGGGAAATTTTCCCATAGAACCATCTGGAATTTAAATAATATAATACAATTAATATATATTAATAAAATAATATGTATTATTATATATCAATAGTCAAAGTCGCATTTTTCTAGTGTTTTATTGGCTGAGAGCATATCACGTGAGAGTGACGAAATTAGGCTGTCTCCCTCGCAACAGCGCGAGAGGGAGATAATACGTTATCGACCGGCGAATAACAAAAAAAATCACGTGCGCCATCACGTGAAGATGCAACCTTTGGACATGCCTAGTACGTAATTAAAACTTTCGCTTTAAGTAACTGCAGTGTAGCCAGTGTTTAATATAACATTTTAACAATAAAATATTTCATGTATTTACGTTCATTTGTTCTTTAATTTGTTGTTTCTTTGACTATTGATATATAATAATACACTTATTTACTGAGACCTCGGGAAAGCAGTGTGTTTTGTGGACCCTCGACTGTCGATGTTTCCCTCGGCTTCGCCTCGGAAAACATTGACGGGTTCGCCTCGGGAAACATCGAAGGTCCACAAAACACACGGTTTCCCTCGGTCTCAGTAAATAAGTGATAATTATTCAAGTTAAAAAAGAAGGCAATTCTAGGTAAAATCTTGTCCTAATTTACACACAATGAAATTTTTCAATTGACCATTATAATATGTTCACCACAGATAACTCAAGTGAAAATTACGCAACAGCTTGTGCGTCAAAATGCAGCGGACCGATGCACAACGCTTTCTTTCTTTCACTTTAGGCGAGATAAAGAAATCATTGTGATCTTCAGACAGAATACCGTAGTAAGTTGTTGGAATTCGACCTCTGTTCAATCAAAAATATTGTAACTAACTATGCCTCATAGTAGGCTCATGTATTTGAGCACAATTTATCAACCAGCAAGTAGCAAACTAAACTAATTTGATCGCCATCAAACAATTAAAATACTTGAATAAGCTTTAATGGACATGAGGATTTTTTGGTATGTCAAAGTCACTTCCTGTGTGACAAATGTTCAAAAAACAATTCAACAATGCATACAGTACAAGCTGTGATATTAAATACAGTATTTAGATAAATTCGAATCGCTATGTTGCAATCCATGGTATAATTTGATACATAATTGATACATTCTGCGACAAATTTGATTATGAAATTCTAAGAAATGAAACCAATATTTTGAACATGATTCCACACAAACGGAAATATATATTTGCCTATAAGGTGTCGTGGGTAGTGTCTTAGAGAGAAATGGATTATTTGTACATTTTTTTATTCCATAATGTGTATTAAATTTAGCCAAAAGCGAAGCACGCGTAAAGGCATGCATGCTAAATTCGGTTTCTATATTAGCAACTTTTGACAGGAAGTCTGAACGAAAAATTTTGAAGCCACTTCAATGTTGATATCCCGCGAATTTTCAAGCCAGTCTGACCAAATTTTGGCCATTTAAAACAAATATAACAATCATGTAAAGCATTGACTTACTCTTCGGCTTCCAAGGTTTTGACTTCGGCAACATAGTTGCTGGGAATATAGCCTTCTTGTTTCGACGAGCGAGATTTCGCTTGCCACCAATCGAAGGTCGTGTTTTCTTGTTTAACTTCAAGATAATCACCTTTTCTGAATGTCAAGTCCTCAGAAGTCCGAGCGTCGTAGTCGAACAGAGCGACAAATAAACGAACTCCGCCAGTGGGACTCGGTGGTTCTTCTTTTTTGGGAGGCACTCTCGGCAATGGTGGATGTTTCTTCTTGACAGGACTATTTGCAGTTGCTGTTATCTCCTGTGAGCGAGCTGTCGTCGGTTCATTATTCGTCGTGATTTCGACTTGTGTAGGGCTAACATTATCGTGTTGGTCCTTTCTCTTCTTTCCCGTACAGTTTCCCATGGATTATATCGTATTTTACCGAGCGTAAAGCATAGAAAATAAAGCTTTTTGGCAAGAAATATACAACTATTCAACCGGCGTCAAAACTCGAAACTCTAGCAAGCTGTTGTCCACTTTCTTCCGGGTACACGAATGCCGTACGTGACGACGCCTTACACGCGTGTGATGCCCGCGGGATCACGCGCGCGATTCTGATACCGATTGGCATGGCGCATGCATCAACGAATGAACACTCGCATTGACCCACACGTTTATGTATGTGTCGACCAGAGGCGTAGCCCCCCCCCCCCCACACACACCTTTCTTCAGGACCGATTTTGTAACTCTCTTTCAAAACTGAAAATAGACTGAGTGGGCACATTAACCTCTTACACAAATGTCTTCATCCATGATATAAAATATACAAAACCTGTGGCTTTCAGATTATCATAAAACGTGTCTAAGATGCATGCAAGTGACCCTAAAAATAGACGGCCGATCAGACCCCGCACGTTTTGTGGCTGGCTAGTGATAGCCTACGGTGTAGACCCCAGCAGAAAAACGTGTTTCTGCTGGGGTCTACACCGTAGGCTAGCTAGTGGCTACTCCCTTGGCATTCGTAGGCCTGGCCTAAGTCAAGCCTGAGTAGCAATCAGTGTATCACGTATCACAATAGACCCTTCCAAGGTTAAGGACGCCATCTTGAATATATTGTTACAGTGTTATTGCACCCCTTGCAAATATACCTATAGGGAATTCCGTTGTGTTTGCACCCATTGCACTATTCTGTTTCATTAGGGCGTCGTTAACCGTGGAAGGCCTCTATTACGATGGTTTGGTGCTGGCCTGGCTCAGGTAAGGCTCGCATTATAAACCCTTGTTGTTAAGCTGCAGCCAAAATTCGGCGTCACACACTCATACGCCCCACTTCAACCTTTCGCTAAGCTACAAGAATGCGTGGGTCAGCCCGCTAGCCTGCGTGGCAGGCTCATTGGCTAACTCAGTTTCCCTAATCCCAATTTCATTAAATTGACGGATTTTTCCCCTGCCTGAAAGAGGTTTTCCACAAGACGTTTTGCTTTGTCGACAAGTTTTTGCTGGAAAGGAAAAGCCGAAACGTTCGCGCGAACAAGAATGAGCATAACACAAATTACACGAGGAACTGTCAGTTCATCAGGACGGTTCGTCTTGTGTATACACCATTATCGAGTGGCTTGATCCGTCACGAGGTCATCAATGACGAACTCAGGTGGGCTGCTATATCCTGAGTGTGGTAGTGGGGGAGTACTACGGGTCACGTTTCGCGTGATAAAAATCCCCAGCATATCACAAGTATAAAATTAGCCACTTCACAAAAATTAATAAAACACTTTTCAACCACGTTTTTAGTTAACAAAGTGTGAGTTTTACTTTCTAAATTTAAAAGTATTTCATGTCAGCAGTTGATCCAGAAGTGTTTTAGGGCGGTACTAGGCGAGCAGCCAAGCATACCGAATCCACGATCTTGGACAAAAACCCTTGAGACCATTCCAGCCAATATTACAAAGTTATTGAACATTGACAAGACAAACTTTGTCTCCCCCTCCTCCCAGTTCAATCAGGCATTAAATTAAGGATTTTTTTCAACAATCACTTGGAAGTGTGGAACGCAGACTAGTCAGACTAGCTTGAGCACAAATACTCATCAACTAAGAAAAGGCTTATTGAATGCCTTTTTATTGTAAGGCAAAAATATGTTTCAAATTGGTCAATAACTTTTAATTTTCAACGTAACTTGAACAATAACTTTATATCTCGAGCTACAAAATCAGTCTGGGTATCATGAAATGTGACTCATGTATATATTTCAGTGCGGTATGAGTTAAATATTTTAAAATTTGGGTGCCACAGAAGCGCGGTTTTCGGCACTTTTTGGGCCATTTAGACCGATGCATGGTTGAGACTATCTATAGAAGCACATAAATCGTGCAGTCTAAATAATTCATAACTAAATTTTCAATCGTCTAATGAAAATCCTTAAAAGCGAGTCCTGATTTTTGTAGCTTACAGTGGTAATTTTACAGGCGTTTCTTGACATGTTATAAACAGTTAAAGAATCATTAATAATTCAGTAGAAAAACACAAAGAAAAATCATAAGCGTGTCGTATCTTTATATATGTGATAAAAAATCATGTTAATTTACATAAACTTTAGCTTTGATTTTCTCGGTTTAAACAAAAGTTTATTTTAAAAATTACTTCGCCAATGAACTCATATCAGATGAGTCGTTTTTAAAGCCATTTAAATAGTACAAAAACCAGAAATATCGAAACCAGAATTAGAAATATATATCTGGCTATCATCAGGCAATAAACACACGATTATTCCCAAGACCAAGTACACTGCCATTGTCCCAAGTACACACTTTTCAGTTTACGAGGACACATTTTTCTTTTACAAGGACACAAAGTGTGTCAAAAAACACGCTACTTTAATGTCTGAGTCCAATGTTGTAAACAACGCCGTAACAACTTTTGGTAATATACCATGACACAAGTTCAACATTGAGTTGAGGGAGCGGCGCTTATAAAGAAGGGCAACATGATTCAATATGGAGTTTATCATAAAAATATGCGAATTTTGTATCAGGGCAAAACAACCAGGTATGTCCAAGATTGCAGCATTGGCCAGGAGAATTATGATCATCTAATTATGATCAGGCGTTTGAGGGTTGGAACGACTGGACGCAAAGGTCCATGGGAATGCTACCATTTTCAGCGTGGGAAAAATAAGGTTAAAATTTAAAATCAGAAGATTGCTCTTCACTTAATCGATATTCATTCCAGAAATCACGGCTATAGCGGTGTAAATCGCGATCTACTAAGAAACGCGTTCTTTTATTACTTAATTCACTACAATAAACAGATGTTATTCGATAACCATAATATTTAATACAAACATTTCCATATTGTCAATTGTCACACTTCACTTTATGGCATGGAATTAATATTCTACATTGCAATTTTTGAAACAATTTAACAATATATATTAATTGTTCTTTTTAACATATTTACTTCATAATATACCAAATATCCCTTAGAGCGCTCATTAGAACTAATTAATATTAATTCATATCTAATTACTGTCCAAATCAATCGCAGACACTATGCATTGTTGTATATATAAACTAACGCACAAATATACTACGGCGCTGGCTAAAAACAGACTAACTCGTCAAAGAGGATCCTGAAGGGTAAAATGGAAACTGGAATTTTCTTATTTTTAGGCTTGGGGAAGGGGATTTGTGTTATTGGAAATGAAAGACACAAAAATGAGGATGGGAAAATCCAAATACCATTATAAAGACAGTTGTAGTTGGTCATTTCAGAGTGCAATAACTCCAAGAACAGCTACAGAGTAGTTTTTGATGGAGAATTTGTCAAAAAAGTCCAGGAAAACCTAAAGGGCATATGACTCGAAAAATGACGTTGTTATTTTTTAGTCTAATTTGAAAGATCATTGAAAACTGTAGAGTAACTTCTTTGACAGATTTTTGTTTTCTTGCTTCGTTTTGGAGATATTTCATTTTGTATGATATGCAAAGAACAACTTTCTACGTCACGCATGCATAATGATAATGTTGTCACTATCAAATAAATTCGCTCAAAATGAATGACGAGCACGAGATTTGTCCACAACAACACCCATGTAGGTTTTCTACCGATTGTGTTTGGTCGTATTAAAGAGATACAGCTTTTAGGGCTAAATCATTATGCATGTGTGACGTAGGAAGCTGGTCCTCTGCATATCATACAAAATGAAATATATTCAAAACGAAGCAAGGAAACAAAAATCTATCAAAGAAGTTATTCTACAGTTTTCAATGTCAGTGATCTTTCACATTAGACAAAAAAACAACAACGTCAATTTTCGAGTCATATGCCCTTTAATTTAACCGACTTATGGGTCAATGAGGTCATTTTTCTGCTACTGTAAGTCAGCCATACCTTTTTCTCGCTAGTTCTAAAGAGAGCAATAAACAATTCCCATTATAGACTAACTTTAAAACTAGGCAAAGTGATGCAAATAAATCACCACAGCTAGAAAAAGCATAATAAAATTACTAAAACTGCAAAGTTTGGTTTGCGAAATGTTGTAAAATGCGGAAAATATAGCCTTGCAAAGTTTGCAAATTTTGTATACTTTCGTATTGCGTGCGGAAATTCCTACCACATTCCTCCAACATTTGGGCCCAAATGTGGTAGCAATTTCCAAAAATTTGCAAACTTCGCAAGGCTATATTTTCCGCATTTTACAACATTTCGCATCCAAACTTTGCAATTTTACTAATTTTAGTATATTCTTTCTAGCTGTGGTGATTTATTTGCATCTCCTTGCCTAGTTTTAATGGGAATTGTCTATTGAACGCAGAATTAATCACACTCTACGATTTTCCTTCAATTTCACAGTTGAATGGATTTACAAAAAAATTTGAGCTGGGAAATGGGAACTAGATCACCCTTTGATAATTATAATACAACGTCAGGTAAACGCTTATTTTAGTACTTAAAAATCATACATAAACCTATTAAAAATCACCCAATATAATATTATAAGGTCTGAATTCGACAATTGCCCTACTTTTTACTATAAACGTTGATAAAATATCTTAACCGGTGGTTGACAAACAACAAAACAGCAAATTGGAACTGGAAATCTTACAGCCTCGTACCCAGGCTTCTATATACAATCCCCACAACATTCCCAAGAATAGACTTTGCAATCAAGCGCCTGGGTACAAGGATGGGAATCTTATGAAACATTTTAGTGACACTAAGTGATCTGAATTTTAGCTGACTGTCCAAAGTCTCTCAATATAATATTTATAACTCATTCGGTTTCCATATCGGTCGTAACGGTCGTAAAGATTGAGTCACGATCTTTCTCATCAGCCGAAATACAACATTTTAGAACTGAAAATACGCGGAGTGATTATAACTAGAGAATACGTATGATTTATATGTGGATTACAAGTATAAACTGTTATAAACTGGCCGTTGAGAAAGATCGTGACTATATTTTTACGACCAAATCAAGAGTTGTTGAGAGTTGGGTCTCGCGACCTAGGTTAACTGTTCTTAATGCTTTCCCAAAACTATCATGTATTCTATTCAAGTTAAAACGTAGTTGAAACACTCATCAAATCTTTATTTTGTCAATCTACAGGGCGTCTCAAAAAAACGTGAACGTTTTAGAAATCACAAACTTCATTACCTGCATTGTTATCGAGCGAGCGTATTAAAACTGCATAAAATTGTACATGGAAATTCTAATTGAAAGTTAAAACGACTTACGCCCGTATTCTAAAAGCTCACTCACACTGACACTCAATGAGTGGAGGTTCGGATGCTGTTTTTGAATAGCTGGAGGGTGAGTAATCACATAGTAAAGTACGACAAGAACCCTCCAGCTATTCAAAAACAGCATTGACACTCAAGAGAAGCTCAGATTGAACCTCCACTCATTGAGTGTGAGTGAGCTTTTAGAATACGGGCGTAAGTCCCATCTCAGTTCGATTAAAAATGGTTGAACCGACTACAGGGCAAAGAGTTTTTACTGTTTCACGCGCTGCGTTAAATTAATCAGCACATAATCATATTCATATGTTGAACGATACCAAAAACGTTTCAATAACTTCCCATGCATAAAATTCGATTCAAATGTGTTTAGGCACCCATGGCTTCAGTATAGTAGGATTGAGGCATTGAAATTATAACAATAAGGTGAATTTCTAAAGGTTCACTTTTTTTTAGACACCCTGGGGCCGGTTGTTCAAAGCTGGGTCAGCGCTAACCCTGGGTTAAAATTTAACCTGCTGTTTTTGTTTGTGTATTTCTGCACGTATCAGTGTTTACTTCAAAACTTCAGAGAACTAAACTCCTATCGATCCAGACAAGATCTCTGAAGAAATATTTCCAAATTTATAGACAAGCTGTCAGGAAGTTTGCTTTGAATTTTAGGTTAACCTAGGGTTAAGCTAACCCAGCTTTGAACAACTAGCCCCTGTAGAGCCTGAAATGTCCATAACAACGCGTGACTTAAAACTCTCATCAACTCTCGTATCACCGGGGCTTAAAAAGTGTCCAAAATGTTTTACTTTTACAAAGTGATTCATCAATGAGACTGCACGAGACGAAATTTAAAGCTTCTTTGGTTTAGAGTATGCGTGTATTAACAATAAAACCTATCATTAGTTAAACTAATCAGCGTGCAAGGAACATGTCACGTGATTATTCTGTTCGAAAAGAATGATTACGTCACCTGAGTTATTTGATGGTATTCACTTCATCGGCCTCTTTATATTGAGTGTCATCACTGAAGAATTCGTCAAGTTGCCAGCTCAGCGTTTCAAATGTCGGTCGATCGTCGGCTTCCTTAGCCCAGCATTTCAACATGATATCTTTGTACAACTTATCCGGGGTGCCAGATGGCTTAGGCATCCTGTAATCTTCCTCTTCGATTTTTCGGATCACCTACAAAATTCCACGTGTGATATAATAGAGACCTTACGATTTAGGACGGCAATGCGACGGCAACGGTTACCAATACAATAAATCATTGAAAAGAATTGAATAATTACAATATATGAATAATTTAGACATTGTCCTACGCTCTGTTTACAACGCCAAATCACAGATTTTCACCGTCTTGATACAACGGCTGCATTTCAAGCCGCAACAAGTGCAACTTCAAACTGGGTTCAGCAGAACTCTTCCCAACCATAAAACCCATGTCTTCAATTTCTAAGACTATATGAAATTCTTACGATTGATAATATACGACGAATTATCTTTACTACCATTTATTTGAAGGAGTTTATTTTGGCCGTCGTCGTCGCGTTGCCGTCCTAAAACCGTAATGTCTCTAATATATTCTATATGTGATAATTTTATATGTGATAAAGCTAGAATCATGTTCATTTACATAAACTTTAGTTTTGACATTTCTAAAATGACTTCGCCAATGAACTACATTGGCTGTCGCCTCTTTATATCTGATAAAACACTCCTGCTCGTTTTTTAGATAGTACTTCGAGCACTGATAAAAGTGGATAATCTCACATGTGAAAATTATCGCTTTTCAATTATCGCTTTTCTGTAAAAATTATCGCTTTTCAAAGACTGTCCTTTATATAATAAACAGAAAAATATATGGGTGCTTGGAAATACCAGATTTATTTCTCGTGTTGAATATAATATCTCACTCGTTCGTTGCGCTCACTCGTGAGATATCATGTTCAAGACTCGAAATAAATCTGGTATTTCCAAGCACCCATGTATTAATATCTCTATAAAGCACTATACATTATATAATAAATAGTACTAACATAAATTTCCACTCGATAATTTCAAACTGCAAGACCGTTTGACTGAATTGCTTTTTTTCTTGGGAGGGGGGGGGGGGGACACCCTGTATATATTTTCTCAGCAACGTTTTGTTGCTTGCTGACATAGGCGTCGAAAGATCGATAAGTGGGGGGGACCATATTCATATTCGTGTTCTGCATTATTAATTTATTTTGAAATCGATTGTTTTTAAGGTCTGTGAACACGAATATATGAATATGGTCCCCCCCCCCCCACTTAACGATCTTTCGACGCCTATGCTTGCTGAGATAGTTCCCAGGAAGCAGGGGCGGCGGAACAGGGGGGGCTAGGGGGGCTAAAGCCCCCCAGAAGTAAAAGTGGGGGGGCTTAGCCCCCAGAAAATTTGAATTTTTTGAAAAAATTTTGATAATTAGGGAAAAATTTAGGTTATTTTTTGAAAATTTAGGTATAAGGGGACAAATTTGCAATATTTTGTTTAAAAAAAGTGTATTTCCGAAAAAATTTTTTGATACAAGTCCGAAAAAATTTTTTTCGTCCTTTTTTTTATATATTGTACCCCTAAAGTGGTACACTGACCGAAATTTTTTTGGCGACGGGGGGGGGGAAGGTCGCCGAAAAAATTTAGCCCCCCCAGAACGAAATCTGTTCCGCCGCCGCTGCCAGGAAGAATTACAGTATATCCTACCTCGTGATTGCTCATGCCCGGATACGGGATACGACCATACGTCACACATTCCGATATTAAAACTCCGAATGACCACACATCGGATTTGGTGGAGAACGCATTCGTGAGGCACGCCTCGGGCGCCGTCCACTTGATTGGGAACTTTGCCCCCTCGTGAGCGACGTATTCATCTTCCACGACCGATCTACTGAGACCAAAATCTGCCACCTTCACGTTGAGCGTTTTACCAACTAAAACGTTACGTGCGGCTAAATCACGATGTACGTAACCGTGCTTTTCCAAATACGCCATACCTTGCGCAACCTGTGTGCAACGAAAATACACAACTGTAACGAGCTATGCTAAAAGCCTGCAATAGAGAATACACTGAATGCGCCCTAAACTAAACTAGTTTTTTTTATACTGGATAGTTCTAGTGAAGTTTTAAACTGTTCTCCCTAGAGATCCAGTTAGGGTCATCTCTTATTGATCCAGTGTTACTACAGGAGGAAACCTAAACTAAACTAACTTATACTGGATAGCACTATCAGTTCTTAACTGTTCTTTCTAGAGGTCCAGTAAGAGCCATCTCTTATTGATCCAGTGCTACTACAGGAGGAAACCTAAACTAAACTAACTTTATTTACACTGGATAGTTCTATCAGTTCTAAACTGTTTTCCCCAGAGGTCCAGTAAGGATCATCTCTTATTGATCCACTGTTACTACAGAAGAGAATCTAAACTAAAGTAACTTTATTGATACTGGTTAGCTCTATTGGTTCTAAACTGTTCTTCCTAGAGGTCCAGTAAAAAGGATAATCTCTTTTTGATCCATGCACTGTTCCTACAGAAGGAAACCTAAACTAAACTAAGTTTTTTCATACCGGATAGCTCTATCAGTTCTAAACTGTTCTCCTAGAGGACCAGTATGGATCATCTCGTATTGTTCCAGGAGGAAACCTAAACTATAAACTAACTTTATTTACACTGGATAGTTCTATCAGTTCTAAACTGTTCTTCCTAGAGGTTCAGTAAGGATCATCTCTTATTGATCCAGTGTTACTACAGGAGGAAACCTAAACTAAACTAACTTTATTTATACTGGATAGTTCTATCAGTTCTAAACTGTTCTTCCTAGAGGTTCAGTAAGGATCATCTCTTATTGATCCAGTGTTACTACAGGAGGAAACCTAAACTAAATTAACTTTATTTATACTAGACATACTCTATCAGTTCTAAACTCCCTAAAGAAAGGTCCAGTGAGAGCAATCCTAAATTGGTCGAGTGTTACTACAGAAAACGAAAAATTAACTACATTTATACTGGATAGTTTCATCAGTTTCAAACTGTTCTCCATGGCATGGAGGTCATTCCTTATTGATCAAGGGTTAGTCAAACTGGAGTGGGAAAGGCTGTAGTACCCGGAGAAAGCCTGCGATATTTTGCAGAACAAACGGGAAGCTCTCTAGTAATCCTAAATATGTTTAATCCTGAATTTGTTTTTCTGTGTTGGTATAATGTACTCAGGAGAATATGATGCTTATGATGTTACTCTCAGTGTATATCCACACCGGGCAAGCTTGAAAAATATGCCTGGCCTTGAAAAATATTCCCACCGTGGCCAGGCATATTTTTCAAGCTTGCCCGGTGTGGATATACACTGAGAGTAACATCACAAGCATCATGTTTAATCCTACCTGTGTCGAGATATCAATCAGCTTGGGCATTTTCATTTTTTTGCCGTGTGGACCTCGTAGATATTCTAACAGGCTTCCGTTTTCCATCAGCTCCGTGACGATATAAATTGGCTCCTGCCTGGAGCAACAGGCGAACAACTGCACTAACTTAGGATGAATTAATTTCTTCATTATCTCAGCCTCTTCCAGGAACTTGCACGGTTGCATTGTGCCTTCTTTAAGTGTCTTAATTGCAACTTTGGTTGTCTTGTTCCACAGGCCCTCCCAAACCTCGCCAAAGTTGCCGGCACCAAGTCGCGTCTTGAACGTAAGCTCCTCTCTGTCGATTTCCCACTTGTCCGCCATGTTATGAGAAATCCCCTTCGTCTGGGGAACATCGACCTGCAGAAGTAAAAATTGTGTGAGGGATAATTAATAATTATTGGATGAGGTTAAGCGAAAATTATCAAGGCCATTGGTTGCGCCGAAAGTGGTGCATTTTCCCGTGCGTAAAGGCCCATTTACACGGGCGATTTTTGCTGCGATTTCAGTTGCGATTTTCTCCTTTTGGAGGATGTGAAGGAGTAGATCAGTTATAAATGTTCCAGGCTATGAAATCTCATAACATCATCATTAAGTAATCTACTCCTTCACATCCTCCAAAAGGAGAAAATCGCAGCAAAAATCGCCCGTGCAAACGGGCCTAATCTATACAAAATTTTACTAATTTTAACATGTTCTTTCAAGCTGTGGTGATGGATTTTGTTCTTCTTGCCTAGATCAAAACTTAGCCTAACGCTGGAATCATTCATTAGCTGTCGCGTTCACACCACGCCAGAAGCGAAATTAGAAAGGTTAAGATACCCCGGTTTCGGTGTACGGGTACGAGTAGTGTCATCTTGTTTTACTGATGTCTGTAATTCGATCATACTTTTTCTGTTTTCTTGCAATAGACAATGATATAATGCGAAAAATGTGCACCTTAATTACGAGTAAAGGTACAGACATCGACGAAAATATTGCTAACCAAAATCATGCTACCCGTACACGTACACCGAAACCGGGGCATCTTAACCTCTCTAATGTTTGAAAACGACACTTTTGCCGTAACAATTAGCCATTCAGAAGTTGATGAGTGGACTGGGGACGAGTGTTAAAAAGTGCCCAAATTAAGAAATGAACCAAATCACTAAAAAGACCACCTCAAAATTAGTAAGTATACAAAGTTTGAAGACGTTTACATGAATATCCTTCGAATAATAGGTTTTCGAAAATCGCGATATTTACTATAAAATGTATTGTAATTTTTGTTTTTGAGACGCGCGTCCCAAAAAATTTTCGAAAGCTTATTATTCGAAGGGTATTCATGTAAACGTCTTCAAGCTTTGCATACTTACTAATTTTGAGGTGGTCTTTTTAGCTATTTGGTTCATTTCTTAATTTGGGCACTTTTTAACACTCGTCCCCAGTCCTCTCATCAACTTCGGAATGACTAATTTGAGCACGGTTTCTAAACGGAACGAGATGAAACGGAGCGCTTGGCGGCTTCGTGTGAACACAAACGCCGTTACTTTTTTGTACCGCTTGCAAACCAAGCATCTCAGGTCTCAAAACAGCAAATTCGAACGCTTTTCGTGTAAATTCTTTGCTCTGTTTGAAATAGTTTGGGACTTTGGGTTTACATGAGTGCTAAATTAATTTGTAAACAAACTGTAAGGCATAATGTGAACACATTGTTGAATTCTGCTCAGTGTTATTTCGCTCCGGTGTGAGTGTGAAAAAATGTGAAATAACCTCTCTATTCTGTAATCATTGAAACTCACCTTTTTACACGGTACAGCAAGTCTACAGCATAATCCTTCTGGCTCGTGCAGGTAGAACGCGACCAAATCTTGGATATCTTTAAATTCATGGTTCTTTGATATGAAGAAACCGCCATTGTCGAGCCGTTTGATCTTATAATGCCTTACAGTATTAGTATCACGCAGGGACAGTGCGTAGGTATTCGGAACTGACTCACTTTCACGTATCAGGAATGAGCCGTGATCATTCACATCTGCCAGGAGTAGTTTCTGGGTCTCCACTCGGCCCACTTTGCCGAAGTACCAACTGAAATGAAAAATTTCGGCTAGGAAACAATGTTTCATGGTTTGCCCACCTTCAGGAAACATGGCTGGGAAACAATGTTTCCTGGTTTGCCCACCTTCAGGAAAAATGGCTAGGAAACAATGTTTCCTGGTTTGCCCACCTTCAGGAAAAATGGCTAGGAAACAATGTTTCATGGTTTGCCCACCTTCAGGAAACATGGCTGGGAAACAATGTTTCCTGGTTTGCCCACCTTAAGGAAACATGGCTAGGAAACAATGTTTCATGGTTTGTTCACCTTCAGGAAACATGGCTAGGAAACAATGTTTCCTGGTTTGTCCACCTTCAGGAAAAATGGCTAGGAAACAATGTTTCCTGGTTTGCCCACCTTCAGGAAAAATGGCTAGGAAACAATGTTTCCTAGTTTGTCCACCTTCAGGAAACATGGCTAGGAAACAATGTTCCCTGGTTTGTCCACCTTCAGGAAATATGGCTAGGAAACAATGTTCCCTGGTTTGCCCACCTTCAGGAAAAATGGCTACGAAACAATGCTTCATGGTTTGTTCACCTTCAGGAAAAATGGCTAGGAAACAATGTTTACTGGTTTGTCCACCTTCAGGAAACATGGCTAGGAAACAATGTTTCCTGGTTTGTCCACCTTCAGGAAAAATGGCAAGGAAACAATGTTTCATGGTTTGTCCACCTTTGGGAAACATGGCTAGGAAACAATGTTTTATGGTTTGCCCACCTTCAGGAAACATGGCTAGGAAACATGGCTAGGAAACAATGTTTCCTGGTTTGTCCACCTTCAGGAAAAATGGCAAGGAAATAATGTTTCATGGTTTGTCCACCTTTGGGAAACATGGCTAGGAAACAATGTTTCCTAGTTTGTCCACCTTCAGGAAACATGGCTAGGAAACAATGTTGCCTGGTTTGTCCACCTTCAGGAAACATGGCTAGGAAACAATGTTTCCTGGTTTGTCCACCTCCAGGAAAAATGGCAAGGAAACAATGTTTCATGGTTTTTCCACCTTTGGGAAGCATGGCTAGGAAACAATGTTTTATGGTTTGCCCACCTTCAGGAAACATGGCTAGGAAACAATGTTTCCTGGTTTGTCCACCTTCAGGAAAAATGGCAAGGAAATAATGTTTCATGGTTTGTCCACCTTTGGGAAACATGGCTAGGAAACAATGTTTCCTAGTTTGTCCACCTTCAGGAAACATGGCTAGGAAACAATGTTGCCTGGTTTGTCCACCTTCAGGAAACATGGCTAGGAAACAATGTTTCCTGGTTTGTCCACCTCCAGGAAAAATGGCAAGGAAACAATGTTTCATGGTTTTTCCACCTTTGGGAAGCATGGCTAGGAAACAATGTTTTATGGTTTGCCCACCTTCAGGAAACATGGCTAGGAAACAATGTTTCCTGGTTTGTCCACCTTCAGGAAAAATGGCAAGGAAATAATGTTTCATGGTTTGTCCACCTTTGGGAAACATGGCTAGGAAACAATGTTTCCTAG